TAGCGTTTTACGAGTGCGATGATTAAAAATTTTTTTTTTGTTCCACAACACAGCTTTTCCCTTTCCCCTGCCATCCCCTTCGAAGCCGTCCCCTTGAGCTGATAGCTGATGGATCACAGTTGCGATCCCGGAAGTTAAAGCGGCATCGAGGCGCAGTGGATCCCAGAACCAGCTCTCTGGTAACCATTAGTCAGGACGACCATACAGTCCAGTCTGCGTACACCATGTCGCCATGTTATCAATGTGTCGGTCACTGTCAGATGTCTCTTGGACGCTTCGGCCGTTGTCTACAGCTATGCAGCGGATATGCCGATGAGCTCGTCCTTCATTGGAACCCCCAAAGATCCAGATGCTTCTAACCATCGACTCAAGGACCGAGTATAAACATCCCCAACGAAATCGTATTTTTCATCATCTTCAGATCATCACCCCCTATCTTCTCTGCATCTCTGTTCGTTCCTCTCTGCTCCTCTCGCTCTCACCCTCACTTCCGACACTCTGCGAAGATGCGTTCTTCTTTCGTTCCCGCACTCGTTGGAGCCCTTGTGGCCAGCTGCTCGGCAGTCACTCTGATCTCGAACTCGAGCGGTTTGTCTGCCCATCTGATTGGCGTTGAAGCAAGAAATTGACAAAACAGCTGCTCCTACCACCACTGAGAGCACTACCCCGTCCAGCTCTGCTACCACCGTCTTCACCACTCTGGTGATCAACAATTCCTCATCTACCACAGAGGCGGTCGTTGTTGCAATTGTGCCTACATCAGTGGCATTTGGCCTTCCCAGCTCGTCTGCTACCTCCGACAACAACTTGCCAATCATCATCCCCAATGTGCCTCAGCTTTCACTTCCCGCTGCCACGACCACGGTTTTCACCACAGTTGCCCCTACAACTACGTCGGCTGCCACCGTTGAATCCACAACTACGCCGGTTACCACCAGCTCCGACAGCGAAGTAGCCACCAGCACAGTGCTTACTACTAGCACCGTGTTGCTCACTACGTCTGGTGGAAGCAATGCGCTTAACACCGAGCCAGGAACTGTGCCCACGACAGCTACCGGTAGCAACGCAATTGATACTGCCTCTGGCTCTTCCCAGGCGTTTAGCACCGGCACCAATGCGCTCGACATGGCATCTGGCTCTTCCCACGTGTTTACTAGTACTGGAACCAATGCCCTCTTGACCACAGATTCCAGCACAACTGCTACCACTTCCAGCAGCAGTGCTGAAACTGAGTCCTCGGAGGCACCAACAACGAGCACCCCTCAGTCTACAACTCCTGTTGTCGTGACCATCTACTCAACTCTTCCAGACACCTCGCCGAACCAGTCAGGTGTCCCGGTCACAACCGTGGTTTCAACCGCCTCGGAAGCACCGAGCACCGAATCCACCACGTCTACACCAACAACCTCGTCCAGCTCGTCCATTTCAAGCTCGTCGAGCACTTCCACCTCGAGCCCATCCAGCTCGTCCACTTCGAGCTCGTCAAGCTCGTCCTCTTCGAGCTCATCGAGCTCGTCTGCCACACCGACGATTACTTCGGCAGTCAATGCGGACACCACGCTACGAACAATCTACACTATCACCTTCCCCAAAACACAGACCATTGAGGAGCTTCTGCCCATCAAGTTTGTGACCCGCACTACTCAGGCGGCTGCTGCGACCACATCGGCCTAAGAAGCTCGAGAGGGGCTTTAGAGTGATAGCAAAGCTGTATTGGATCAGTCAAAAGTAGAGTAGAGTAGATTGAGTTGTACATGCTCGTAGTGCATAATTGCTACCTGTAAATTTCACGATCATCCATAAAAATCTGCCAAGAAAAGCGGGACGGGCCGAACAGATAGATCGACAATATGCATGGCGTTGCAATACCAGCAAAGCCGTGTTATTGGTCGATAACAACACGATATGAGTACAGTTAACGTGCAGCTTTCCACGATGGAGCCCGATACAGGACGGTCGAGCTCACGGCAGCGATCGCGGCCATCATCGACGACGGCCGACAGCGCGCGACTGCGGACCTCAATGCGCAACTCAATGGAAGAAGGCGACACGGAACGCGGCACAGGGCTTCCCGGCTACAACGACGTTAACGACCCGTTTAAGCTTCGGGACGCACTCATGACCGACGAGCAAATGGCAGCAATCAAAGCCAACTCACGCCGGAAGCGAATACCCCTAGGCAAAAGCCCACGCGCCGCCCTCCACGCACACAAACTTCGGGGCTTCTATCGACAACAAAACGAAAAAATCGAACGCTGGCTAAAACCCGTGCACGAACACGTCCAAGACGCGCGCGACGAACAAGGCTCCGACGCATTACAATACCGCATCGCGGTGGGCGCCTCCCTCATCGCCAACATCTTACTAGCCGTAATTCAACTCTATGCGGCTATCGGCGCGGGCTCATTATCCCTCTTCGCCACCGCAGCGGACGCAGTCTGCGACCCCCTAAGCAACCTCACCCTCCTCTTATGCCACCGGGCCGTCAATCGCGTCGATCCGAGAAAATACCCCTCCGGCAAAGCCCGCATCGAAACCGCAGGCAACATCACCTTTGGATTCGTAATGGCCTGCATCTCCGTAATCCTCATCACAGTCTCATCAATCCAACTCCTCCAAAACGAAGGCCGCAACGAACTAAAGCCCCTAAAACTAACCCCCATCATTGTCGTCGGCGTAGCATTCCTAACAAAATTCTCCCTCTTCATCTACTGCTTCGCGTTAAGAAACAAATACTCCCAAGTCCGCATCCTCTGGCTCGACCACCGCAACGATATGCTCATCAACGGCTTCGGGCTCACAACCGCCATCCTAGGCTCGCGAATTGCGTGGTGGATCGATCCCGCTGGTGCTATAGCCATCTCTATCCTCATCGCGGGGATATGGATAAGAACTTGTTATTCGGAATTTCAACTACTTATTGGTCAGAGTGCGGATACGGCGTTTCTGCAGCATGTGACGTATATTAGCATGACGCATAGCCCGCTTATTACGCAGCTGGATACGGTTAGGGCGTGGCATTCGGGCCCGAGACTTATCGTCGAAGTGGATGTGGTGGTGGATAAGGTAAGGACCGTGGAGGAAACGCATGACGTTGCGGAGGATTTGCAGAGGAAGCTTGAGTCTCTGCCGGATGTGGAGAGGTGTTATGTCCATGTGGATTATGAGACGAGTCATGCGCCGGAACATTTGTGAGTTTTTCCGTATCATTTTGGGGGGAGGGGAGGGATGCTAACGCTGCGTAGTTGGAAGAAGGAATTGTAAACTGGGTTGGGTTATGAGGTATTGGGCGGGTCGTGCTATGGGATGAAGGTGGGCAGGGTATGGGTTATGAGGTAGATGGGTAATGAAGTTTTTGGGGCGATGGGATGGTTATGATAGGAAAGGACTATTGGTAGGCATAGTGTAGTATAGCATGAATAAGATGGTTAATATCGCAGGGCAAGGGGGTGGGATTGTTGATTTTGGTAATTGTGTATGCCACTTCGAACTGCGGGGATTGGGTGAAGTGATGGTGTTGTGGATAGACTACGTACCGCTGGAGACAACCCACATGAATCTTTAAAGCTCGAATATAAACCAAAATCGAAAGGTGCAACCTGGAACTAGTCCCGGAGCATTCATATCTATTAGGATGATTGCATGCTATGGCTCTGATAATCCTTGGGGTTGCCAACGCCGTCAAGAAAACTCAATTTGCCTAAAAACTGCATATCAAAGTCTAACAATTGACCAGAAGGCCGAGTTTTCAACTATCATAAATCCGGAGAGCATGATGAACGTAGCTCCACCGCTCGAGAAAGATGAGAGACTTCCGCGCCAAGGAAAGCTGTTGGCTGCGCGGATGGACACCGCGTTTGTCGGGATTAGAAGTTGCCTTCCGATTTGAGGACAGTAGAGGTTGTGGTAGTGACTGTGGACTAGGCTTACTATGATCGTGGCTGTGTTTTCCTCAGCATGTTTTTTATCATAAGTTTCCTTTGTGTGGCGGGTCAATGTTTTGGAGAACTCTCGCCTTGTGTGAGTGTTCTGGGTATGAAAGTTAGAACTACTTTCCTTAACTTTTTTTCAACTTGAGCGGATGCCCTTGCAAGGGAATCACGCCAATTTACGGGTTAAGAGAATTTGGTACTGCACGGTTTGGGATGGGGAGATACCCGTGCGCTTGGTAGATCGCTTATTTCATGCGAATAGGTGGGGGCTGAGGAGTGTTTCCGAACTGTGGAATTGTGAGGAAGGGCGAAGGGTGACTGAGATAGAAAAGGCCAAGGAGAAAAGGAGGCAAAGCGGCGCGTGAGCATGAAAAAGGAAGCCCGACGGGAGTGGGGAGACCTTTGCGAAATTCGGTATGAGTTTCATAGATGTTGAGCTTCACAGGGGAAAAATTTCCAAGGTCGATCTAGGTTTTATCTTGTACGGGGGTTATGAACGTTGAAGGCTTACGGTAAGAATTGAGCGCCTATTGATTCGTACAACATATAGTCGAACCAGGTTATAGCGGGTTGAGTTGGCGCAAGATTTCTGTTCGTTATGCCAAGGATCTGCTGCATTCAGTGTCCGCTGTGTCCACGTTTGACTGTAATGTTTATAATTAACCGGGAAACGGTGGAAGAGTCATCGACGAATGCATCGTTTTGTGAGCGTTTAGCTCAAGTACACATCCAAATCACAGTACAAACACGCACGAGGGATCAATCATCAGACACCTGCCTGTGGTGGATAGGGTATCGGACCTCTCGTGGTTTTAACTACACCGAGGATGTTTTCCCTCTGGCGCGGTCACAACGAATGCGACTTGGGTCGTGCTGGAATGTGGGGTAGTCTTGGCACACAAGTTTATCCCTCGCTTCCGACCATTCTGTACTCATAATAACACACACAGCTGTCTGTTCCACCCTTGGCCGATATCGGGGTAGATTACGCTACCCTTCGCTAAGCACATAGTAGTATGGCATAAGTAAGTTATAAAAAAGATTGACTGGCTACCTATATATAGGAAAGGCAAGGTGGCCGAGTGGTTATGGCGCTAGTTTCAGGTTGTTTTCATCGCAACTACTAGTGGAGCAATCCACGCGAGTTCGAGTCTCGTCCTTGTCAACCTTTTTTACTCTAAGCCTAGATTGTTGGGAGGTGGGGATGAGAAGGAGAAATTGAGGTGATAATAAGGTTTTGCCTTCAAGAAACAAAGCGTGGTGTTTCGTGGTTGGTACAAGGGGAATAGGTATACACATAAGAAGGGCTTCCCTTTCCGAAATGTATGATATACCTTGTGAGGAGGTTAATTGAGAAACCCCGTTTCGAAAGTGTGATTTTTACTCTTGGGATCACGTTTGGAAGCGGGATCTACCTACTTAAGTCAGCGCCAAATTTTTGAATTACGCAAGCGGGGGCATATTCCTGTTCTAATTCTCGCATATATGTTTGATATGTATGTGAGAGGTTGTTATCCTGATGTTGTAAGATTTTTCGGTCTGTTGTTGGCGCAGGAGTTTTGCCATGTGTTGATGATCCACTGCCTGTGCATAGGTCGATTATTGTCACATAGGAGTCAGGGCAGGGTTTAATTAACTTCTACTTTTCGAACGTATGAGTTGCGGCATGACATCTTAAGGCGACTTTAGATCGTCTTGTGATCGTTCGTAATGTATACCTTGGCATTCGACCAGGTTTGTGTAGGCTCGCCACTACCTGTGGGCGCGCCTCGTCCAGTTCAGGTTTGTCCTGCAGAAGAAATCACTACTCTTGCTCAACGAGGCCTTGTGAGTCATCTTGCTGGATAATGTTACACTTGGATGACATCCTGCAGGACTACATCGCCCGGCGGATTTGGACCCCCAGTTCAGCGCGGTAGTCAAGCTGCGGCTGCCCGTGGCCTAGTATTGATAGATGCACCATATCATGGCGTATTCGCGGCAAATTGGGATGGAATGCTCCAATCCGCCTGCACCTCGTCAAGCTTGTCATTGATTCTGTAAGTTCCATGCATGCACCACGCATAATCACACCCCACGGCACAGCCTTGTAACAGCTTCCTTGGTCTCGAAGGTTCTCGAGTCTTGTCACAACCTTCAATCGTGCCCATCATGCACAATTGGATGATGCATTTAAGACCGAAGAGAAAGTCGCATGCTTCACATCAACCTACTTCCCCTTCAAATCCATCCACGTCACGGGCCTCAAAATCCATCCCACAGCTCTCACTGTCTTTGCAGCTATACAATACGCCTGTCCGGGCTGCATCCCCAGCGAGACCTGCAGACAATTCCTTTCGAAGTCTGAGACAGTTGACGGTCGATGCACTTGTCAGTCTTTCACATGACGACCGCAAGTTTGTTAAGGAGCAACTCGGTGCGAATAATAATCTTGAGAGAGACGCGGCTTAGGTCATGGCCTTCAGAGGACAATACCATGAAAATCTAGTCAATGGATAGTCAGGATGCGGAAATTGCTCGTCAAATGATGCTATTTGCGCCGGTTTTTGACGTTGAATCGAATGTCATACTAGAGGTGCTTTGCCTGCCATGGGCGGGTATCAGCTCTATATTAATGGTAAGCAATAGTCTTTGTATGTGCAACTCTGATTAACAGCATTTCTCTAGGTGGCTCAGAAGGTTCACGACCTGAGTTAGTCGATTTTAGAGGAAATCGAAGTGGTACTGGGCTCCAATCACCTCCTCACCGCGTACTCTGCCATCTACAGCCAGGTCGATGCGACTTCGGCGCTTGCGCATCTTTATAACCACCTCGTCACACTATACGGCCTTATCCGAGAATTCTTGGCGCACGCTCATCGAACATACGACATGCACAAGTGGGAGGAGACTGCACAATGTCTAGCTGATGTGGTTATACCAAATTTTGAAGCCAACCACGACAGGGTGTTGGAAATCATTGAGCACCATGCAAGGACTGTAGATAGAGAAGTGTCGGAGAAGCAGCAGGCTTGGGTCACTGAAAAGCTGAAGACGCTGAAGAAACACAGGCAAAGATCAATCAAGGAGTTAGAGATGTTCAACAAACTCTAGATCTTAGTGCTCTTCATAGCGCTGAAGGGGCAACTTACAACTCTATGGACTACGGTGGTCACAACCAGAGTGGCGAACTTCAGTTGTGTCTGAGCGGTGCACGAGTCCGAATCAAACGGACAATATTGGCCTGGGCCACTAAGGCCAATGACCAAAGAATCTTCTGGGTAACTGGGAAGGCAGGAACTGGTAAATCCACAATTGGCTGAAGTATTGCACATGAATTAGCGAAACAGGGATACTTGTTGGAAAGCTTCTTCGAGCGCGGCCAGGGCGAGCTGAGCCGGGTCTGATGTCAAGGTTATTGTCATCGATGCTCTCGATGAGTGCAAGGAGTGGGGAGCAATAGGCCACGCCATTACCGACACTTCGTGCTCATACATCCATGAACCTGAAGGTCTTCGTGACAAACCGGTCAGACAATAAAGTCGGGGATAAGCTCAAGCAAATGGAGAGCAGCGATCTACAGCACGAGAGGCTTGAGAACTTGCAAACGAATACCATTAAACAAGATTTGACAATGTTTTGTAAGGATGAACTGAGGAAGCTTCGTTTGGAAAGCAGGAACAAATCAAGCTTCGACAAACTAGAGGAAGACTGGCCAGGAGAAGTCGTAGTGAACGATCTCGTTAACATATGCCAGCCACTGTTCATCACAGCATCCACAATATTCAGAGATGTTAGTGGCGATCCACGACAACGGCTTCAAAAATGGGTTGACCGACTCAACTTTACTGGTTCAGAAGCGCTGAACGTGATCTATTTAGACATGCTGGAAGAAGTGGTTGATCTCGACGAGGAGTGGCTTGAGCTGATTCAGTCAAGCCATCAAACCGATCGCTGTCCTACATTCCTCGCTCTCCTTGCCGGCGCTTACAGATCTGCTGGGAGGAGGAGACCCTCTGCTGCTTACTAATGATCTCAAGCCTTTTAGTTCAGTAATTGACTTTCCCAGTGGCAAAGAACTGAAAGCAGGTTCACTAGCTCCAATACGGATATATCACAATTCCTTTCGAGACTTTTTAGTGGATTCCACCCTAAAGGGCAAATCTCCGTTCTGGACTGATGAAGAGGAGACACATGGTATCATCCTGAAGATATGCATGGATTTGCTGAGGAAAGACTAAGCAGCGATGTGTGCATATGCAAGAATCCAGGGACACGACGCAAATCCGTGCCACTCAAGCATGTAGAAAAGCACATTCGTGAATCAGTACAATACGCATGTCGTAGTTGGGTCAGACATGCAACCCATAGCAATCAGATGATTCAGGATGACGCACAGGTGGATAGTTTCTTGCGCACATGTTTTCTGTTTTGGACAGAGGCAACGGCTTGGCTGGACAAGCTCGGGGAAGTGTTAACAAGTCTTAGGCAGCTACAAAAGGCCATCGATGTAAGTATAGCGTTGGTTGACATTCGAATAGAACTTGACTGATCATGCACAGACAAAACACTCCCCTGGGCTGCAAGCCTTTGTCGCCGATACTCTGAAGCGGGTTCCAGCGCATTGGACCTTGATCAGCAACGCACCGCTTCAGATAGCACTGGCGTTTGCGCCGAGCAACAGTGTTGCACGACACACCTTCAAACATGAAATGGAGGGGTTTCTGAAAGTTTGGTCGCCACTAGCAAGTCCCGTATTGCAGACGTTCACGTGGCATAGATTTCTTGTAACGACGATAGTACCATCACTCGACGACAAAAAAACTTGTGACCACTGGCTGGGATGATACAGCTCGACTATGGGACATTGAAAGCGGGACCGAAGAAGAGTGTTTGAAGATTGACTCTCGCTGTTCCCTTTCATCTCCCTCCGAAGACGGCACTGTGATAATTGCCCATTTAAGCTGGAAGTTGTTGAGTTGGAATTCTGAAGACGACCTCCGTCGAGTTGACGTGAAGCTACCAGGCCATGCAAGATACGTTTCCGTCTCTCCAAATGGCCGATTCTCTGCTTGGGGCCTTAATACAGGTAGAATTTACATTTGGGATGGCGACAACGACATTGGAGAGGTGCTGGAGGGCCACAATTCTTCAGTGCGATGGATGTCATTCTCGTCTGATAACGAGACGTTATTGTCGGGTTCGACGGACATTTGGAGACCGAGTACAAAAACTGGACATGAGAAGATTTGCCACGTCGCTGCTGAAGTAAGGGCTATCGCGACAGCGTCGGATGACACTTTCGTGGTTTTTGGGTCTGCACCGGGCAGTTGGGGCGCCTCTCCTGAATTTGCCACAATATCGGTATTTAGCCACGATAAGCAAGCCGTTAACCGGATCTCAAAATTGCCAGTGAAGTCGGGGTGCTGTTTTGCAATTGCCCCAGACAGCAAGAAGGTTATCATCCCCGAACCAGTCACCGACCTTCCTGTACCGGTTTCGAACTAAACCCAACCCAAAAAGCTGTCGTTATGTCGCACCGACATGTTCACCATGACGTTCTCACCTGGGTTGATGGCTCTGATGCATTGCTAATACAGCTAGACGCGAGTTTGGTGATAAAGAATGAGCAGCAAAGGGCTGGCACAGCTACCGTTGGAATGTCCACGGAAGGCCAATTAATCGCCTTATTGTCCTGAAACAATCAGCGAAGTCCTTGAAATACCGAAACGCAGATTTGCAAACGACATTTATCGGGTGAAAAGCTTGCCAATCTCCCCTTGTTTCCAAGACAGATCCTGATCTCATTGGACATGTGTTTCGTGGTTGTTGCCAATCTAAACTACCCCCCAGAAAATACAGTAATCAAATGGGATCCTGAAACCAATTTATTGACAGAACTGGAAAACAAACCGGACCATATTCCTGCTCTTGCCATCTCCCCAGACAGCAAATCACTCCTTTGCGGCTTGAACGATGGTCGGATATGGACTTTTGACCTGAACAGTGGCATTTGGTCCAAGGCGTTTACGGGGCATACAAACACTGTCACAGAGGTTGTATTTTCTCCAAACGGCCAAGAATTTGCGTCGGTGTCGGACGACAAAACAGTGAAGATTTGGAACCCTCAAACACAAGCCTCATCAATGTTAAGTTGCGAAGGTTTGATATCTGAGATGTATATCT